AGAGAGAGAGAGAGAGAGAGAGAGAGAGAGAGAGAGAGAGAGAGAGAGACAACCATGGCAATTTTTGTGCAAGAAGCACAGCAAAAGTACATGTGTGAGTGCCTTCTAAGTCGTTGGTGTCAGGTTTGAATCGCATTTCCAAGACTTCAAATCTCATTTAACTTCATTTTAAATCATTTATGATTTAACTTCATTTAAAATCATTTGTGATTTAACTTCATTTACCAGTTTTCTTTTTGGTTTTTGATCTGTGAATAATCTTTGTCGGTGATGCAGGAAAATTAAGCAACTTCGTAGGAAATGAGCGTTACAGTATCCTTTATAAAGAAATGGTCTAGTTAGTGTGTGATGTGAGACATCGGAAGCCAGCATATGGACCTTCGGCAGGTAGATTTTACTGTTTTTCAAATGCTTGTTTCTTGATCCTTCGGGTTGCATTGATTTTGATTTTCAATTCCTGGGTTTGAGCTCGAAATTTGCCACTCATTAATCTCATTATATGTTGTCACATATTCGGCACAAGTTTGCAGGCTAGACTGTATAAGTTTATCATATCAGAAAAGGATTCGAAACCCAGGCTGTCTTTCTGACTCTTTCAAGGTTCGTGGGGAACTTGGCTCCGCTGTTAGGCAGGGCGTACACCCTACAATTGGGGGTTTTATCTTCCTCGGGGTGTCCCGGGGAGCCACCGTTTTGGTGGAGGTGGGCACTGGGGGACGGCTAGCTATGTTTGGGTTCTATTTTCGGGGCCAAGCAGGAGTGGAAAGTGCAGCGGTTGGGGAAGTCTCACCCTCGACATCTAAATAACAGGCAGAACAATTGCGTCCACAGATTTGAATTGTCTTCGCTTGATAGGCTTACACAAAAGGCTAGTTTAGGCAGGGGTGAGGGATGGTACATCCTTTCTAAGGGAGGTCATCATTCCCGTCCTCTTGGGCCTTCCAGCCATAGTGGGGGGGGAGCGTGGGTGCATTTCAAAGATGTATTTTTTTGACTTGCCGGTGGAAAAGGAACCGCACTGATGCTCCCCAGAATGGAATGGAGCCGGGGCCTGAAGAAGAAAAAAAAAAGTTTATCTTTTCAGGAGCTTCAGCCTCCTGATGAGTCGGTGAAACTCTGATGAAACAGTCTCTCACAGCCCCTCATTTGTCTTCCGCTTCTCCCTCTCTGCCTATACTGTTTACTGGGGCAGGTTTCTATTACTATATATATACCTGCAATGAGACCACAAATTCACCCTGGTTCGCACACCAAACTCGTTCACGCTTCACCACTCCAAGCTACACAAATCAGATGCAAGAAACACGGTATGAACACACAAAGCTGTATTGAAATTCACGGTCTTATACAGAGCTCCTTGAACACAAACTCGAATGGATAAGGCCGCCAAACAGCCTCAACAGGTATGCTGCTGATCATGTGTGTTGTGTTGATGATGATGATGATGATGATATGCTATTGGTATACCTGATTTATGATGTTGACCGTCACGGGGCTGGTCTTGCTGCTCATAACGTTTGTGGAGAGAGAGAGAGAGAGAGAGAGAGAGAGAGAGAGAGAGAGAGAGAGAGAGAGAGAGAGAGAGAGAGAGAGAGAG